GCCCGGCAAGTTTTTTTATCATGCTAAATTGTGATGTGTGCCTCTCACTTTCAGTCTCTTAGTTTACTCTTGTCTATAAAGACAATTTTACCAGAGACCTTAAACAGACTACCTCAAAGACATCAACAGACTAGAATCAAAGAAACCAAATCTACCTGCTCTCAATCAGTGCAGACAGCCACAGAGCAACTTACCCTTACAATAGCAAAGATCAGTCCACACTCAGGAGGAACTCTACTTCAAATTTTCATCTTTGTTAAAGCGAAAAAGAGAGCTAGTGCTGGGACCCCCGCTGTAGCTCCTGGGTGGAGAGTGAGCGACCCCTCCACACAGGACAAGGCAGGACAGAGCTTTGCTGGGCCACCACAGTGGGTGGGGCGGGTGGACAAGGTACTAACGAGAAAGAATCAATGATAATTCAGACTTGGGGAAGGAAAACACAGAGATCTGTGTTCAGAAACAGGGACTGAAATGCCCTCCATTCTTCAGGAAGACAGTGAGACTTGGTTGGTGTGGACGGTGGCACTGAAATCAATGACTTACTACTTGGTCTCTACCTGGCAACTGTCATCATCTATTTCTAAAGCTCCCACTTACTCGAGTTTCTCCAGTTTCATCGATGCTTCCTGGTGCACACTCCTTAACTGCTGCATTTTGTCTGCAGAGGATTTCTGTGAATGCAATTTAACCTCATATTAGCATGTTTTAACAGACAAGACTGTATAAAAGAAAGAAAGAAACAAACAAATAAACAAAACTACAAAGACTGCGAATTATTCACCATCAAAAAAAAAAAAGTTAGGGCCAGGCCCCTAAGAGCATTTGGTTAGCAACCATAAGAGCTTGAGTGTGGATTCTCAGAACCGACATAAAGGCTGGGCACGGTGCATGTGCCTGTAACCCTGGCACTGGTGGGCATGCACAGGTGAATCTCGAGAGCCCTTGAGTCAGCCAGACAAGCCCAAATGACAAGCTTCTGGCCCTCAGAGAGACCTTTTGACAGAGCACTAGGGTAGAGAGGCCAGTAGTATGACTGAGAAAGACACCTGATGTCCTGCTCTGGCCTCCACCCGATGGGCATGTACCCACACACCCAAGAGCAAGTACTGCACACGTACGCCCAGCACCCAACACACACAATAACAACAATAAGTTTAAGTGGGTAGGCATTTATGAGAAACAAGATGAGAACAGTTTTTCTCTCCTTTTCAAAATGCGGGGGCGTAAACTCGGGATCATGCACATGTTAGGGACAACCTCTGAGCAGTATTCCCAAGAATTTCTTTACCTAACACAAATATTGCTAACACATTCTCACCATGGCTAGACATGTGTTAGATACTGATAATTTTCAAGGAAAGCGTCTTTTTGGTCCTGAGCATATGTCTATCTCTTTGAGCCACAGTCATGAATGAAAAGCTATAAAACAACTAACTAAAGCAGTGAATGTAACAGGACCAGAGACCATGACACCCACCCAACACAGGCAGTGCCAGGAAGGGCGGTCATTCAGGTCTCTTAGAAATGAAATGTCTGTGTTGTGTGTCTTTAAAAAATAAGAGTGAACGGGCAAATAAAAGTGTGTGAGTGTATGCGCAACCGAGTATATGTAAGCTTTGGAGAGTCTTCAGAGTCAGGAATGTAAAGCTTACCTTGACTTGAACTAAGAAGTTTTTATCCAGTTCCATGTAGCTGAATCTCAGATCTAAGTGTTTTATGTTACCCTGGTACTAAGGGTCCAGCCCTTGCACATTACGAGCAGCGGGAATGATCCCCCAATAATAGTCCATAATCTTCACAAAGTTTATCAGTTGTGCAATGAAAAAACCCCATCTGTTAAAGTGATGGTGTTGAAGGCTAGGCAGAAAGTCTAACACAGGCAGTCCAACTTGGCTTTGCTTAAGAAGCGAACATATTTCAAATATGCCAGTTATTTGAAGAACACTATGCATCTTTGCAAACATCTAGAAAAAAACCTATTTTTTTTAACATAGGGAGTAATGTCTCAACTACAACATTAAAGTAAAATTCTATCTTCTATGTTATCAAGAACATATCATTTCAAAATATCATCCCAAAGCTAAAGTCTACTTTGTATAAATATAAAACCAAATTTAATTCTAACAATGATCCAACAATTGGACCTGTGACAAAATTTCAAAGCAGATTAATAATTCATACATGAGACTGCTGATCTGATGTGTACGTATCTAACAAACATACTTAAATCTTACATTTTCCAAAAGAAACTCTGCATACGTCTCCTGGCATGCTTCTCTGAAGTGAATAAAGTTGATAATGGCACTCAAAAACCGCATTGTCCGTTTGCCTTCTACAATAGAAAAGAACACTCTAATCCGTTGAAACAACAGAATGCAAAAACGTATCATTTTTCACCATATGACTTGGCTCACAGCATATAAAACTTAGCCTTTAATGAGGTGCAAAACATCTGTTTTAACTTAGACTGCAATTACCTTTGTGTTTACAAAGGAGGAGGGCACTTGCCCTTAACAGAGAATGCATGGGTCTTATAGAAGCAAGAAGATAAGGTTTTGGAATTGGAGAGGCCAGAGCAACTAGAATTGGTGAGACTAAGAACTTCGGGACAGAGGCTGTGGAGAGTTCAAGGGTTCTGGAGGCCTTAAAGAAGCTGGTTCTAATCAATCAATATGTGGACACAAGAAACAACTAAGGCTAAAAGAAGAACCAGAAATAGTTAAAGTGATAAACGAAAGCATCAGTATGGCATAAGATGGCATAAAATTTGTAACCTAAAAAAAAAAAAAAAAGCAAAACCAGAATATAATCAATCTATAAAAAGAAAAAAATATAAAAATACCTTGAAATAGCGCCAATGACAAATACAGCAAAAACAGTTCATGAAAATGTCTCATTTGTTCAAGAACAAAGTCTTATGAAGATAAGAGACCGTTCCTAAAAATACCCAACTCCAAATCAAAGACACGAAACAGAAGGTATCTGAACTAAGAATTGTGCCAGAATAGATTAGCAAAGCATGTTAGACCTAGGATGAAAGGTTAATGGAGCAGAAGACAGGCCATAGAAGCTCCTGAGATGAAGGCCACAAGAAGAGCAGCCGCCACCACCTATGAGCAGAGGCAGGACAGACAGCATCCCACGTCTTTGATGAAATCCCACAGAAAGGAGGAACAAATGCTACTTTTAGCCTAACAGGAGAGTAATGTCCAAATCTTATGAAAACTATAAACAGTGAAGTCTAAGCTGGAAATCAAAACAACAAAAATTCCCCAGAACCCCATAATACATTCAAGTAGCTAAATAGTAATAAAATTGAAAAGCAAAGACAAGAAAATAAAACAGACACATTAAATGGAATAAAGATAAGAGTGGATTTGCTTATCAGGAACAAGGGAATCCAGAATATAATGCAGCAATAAATCTTTTCCTTTCCTGTATCTTCAAAAGTTTGTTATTGGCCTTCTCTGTAAATACTGTCTTCAACAGCATCAGCATGCCTTTAAAGCACTGGAAACACTATCAACACTATCAACTTAGAATTCAATAACTAAGAAAATTAGCTTTTAAAACTGAAGGTGAAGCAGGCATGTCAGGACACGCCAGGAATCCAGCACTCATGGTACTGAGGCCAGAGGATTTTAATTTCTAGACTATATAGTAAGACATTGTCTATATAAACAACAAACAAGGAGCCGGACAGATGGCTCAAAAGCCAAGGGCACTTGCTGCTCTTGCAGAGGACCCAAGTTTGGCTCCCAGTGCACCCATATGCCACTCACAACCACGTGTAATTCCAGCTCCAGGGATCCAACAACTTCTGGCCTCCATGGACACTAGGCATGTACTTGGTATACATCATACATGAAGGCAAAACACACACCAATACACATAAATAAATCTTTTAAAAGCTATTTTTAAAAAGTCCAGTAGCCAAAATAAGACAAGAAATAGAGAACATGGAAATACATAAATATTATAAGGAAGAAAAAAAGATTAAAGGTAAATTTAAGCCTGATCATATCAATAACATTAAATACAAATGAGCTAAATAGTCCAATTAAAAGGCAGTGAGAATGAAAAGAATAAATCCACAAAAGATTTCAGTATCTGTCTTAATCATTCAACACAACTGAAAGAAAATCTGAAGGAACATTAAAACCAACTGGTCCAAACCCGTGGGGTGCTCTACCCAGTGAGGAAATGCAAACGCGTGCTGTGCAACAAACACTGCAGGCCATGTGGATGCACAAGACTTGGAACCTGTGCATGCTATTAAAGTAATACATACAGGACTCCCAGGACACTGGCAGATTATGACACTGTGTCCTCCTGGTATGACGTGTGCTGCAGTGAGTAACAAGAGTCAGGATAACAAAGACTAAATTAAGGCAGGTGGGTCTCTGTGAGTTCGAGGCCAGCCTGGTCTACAGAGTGAGTTCCAGGATAGGCTCCAAAACTACACAGAGAAATCCTGTCTTGAACAATAAATAAATAGATAAATAAATAAATAAATGAATAAATAAATAGATAAATAAATTTTTAAAAGGGGGAACTGAACAAAAAGTCAACAGCACGGGGCTCCAGCTGCCCAGCTCACACCTCCGAATCTACATCACACAGCCAGTCTACAAGCACATCAACAGATGAGTGAGTGAGTGAAGAAAATCTGGCTGTAGGAACTCATGCCTGACTTCAAGTATACTTGCTGTAAAGACAAACATCTAGATGAACGGTGCCAGGAAACCGGATATCCATACAGAATGATGCCAGAGCCTAGAGAATAGCATCCCAGAAATTGGGGCCAATTGGTGTCTCACATACATCTTCATTTTTCACAAGCTTTCCACTCACGGCAAAATCTGAGTAAGGATTAGGTAGTTCTCCAGAGGCCTTCCATCAGACTCTCTGCCATCTGCACCAGTGGCCCTTTTGTTAGGAATGAGGCATCAGTATCACTCCATACTTAGATGTGCTAGCTGCCACTGTATTGCCTGTGGGGTGTGACGACGGCAGGATGGCATGCACGTACCACCACTGCAGTAACACACAGAGGCTTCGCTGGCCTAAAAAGCTTGTGTTCTAGCTAACTGTTCCTCTTTCTCCTCTGAGCCTCACAATCACCCATTTTTTTCTCTCTTTCTGTCTCCAGTATTTTGTCTTTTACATGTCATATAGCTATGTAGCCTTTTCAGATTGGCTCCTTTTACTTTATAATACACACTTGTGGTTCCTCCACGTTTTCTCACAGGTTGAGAGCTCACTGTCACTTGGCACTGAATAACATTCCACTGCCTGGATGTAAATTACTTACTGACCCACACTGAAAGACATGATGGTGTCTGCCAGTTAGAAACTGTGAACAAAGCTGCTACCAGCTTCTCTGTATGTGACTGTATGTGAACACAGTTTGAATTCCTTTGCGTAGATACCAAGAAGACTGACTACTGGATCATACAGTAAGAACAAGTTTCATTTTGTTAGAAACGGCCAAAGTGGCCACGCCTCTGTGCACTGTGGTAGCGAAGAACTCAGGAGCCTGCCCCCCCGAGTCCTTCTCAACACTTCAGACTGCTGGGTTTTGGAGTGTTGTCAGTCTTGGTAGGCATGCAGAGTACGTGCATTGATTTTTTTTTATAAAAAGTATCAAAGTAATTTAACAGGGAAAGGGTAATGTTTCTACAAATAGTGCAAGATTATTCTCACATACAAAAGGGGAAACAGGAACGGTGACTCATACCATATATAACAATCAAAACATTAAACAAGCAAGACAACACCCACCAAGCACTCAGAGGCAAATCTCAGCAACTTCGATTAAGCTAAGATTTCTCAGAAAGACATACAAATTTATTCTTTAAAAATCAATTAAAATGTTCAAAACTGAAATTTTGCATAACTATATAACTGAAAAGGCAAATAACAGAGTAGCAGAAAAGACCTGCATAATCAGCTGATAATTTATCTGAAGCGTCTATAAGATAAACAGATAAGGTGCTGGAGGGATGCTCAGCAGTTAAGAGCACTGCTCTTCCAGATAACTCAGGTTTGATTCCCAGCACCCACAAGGCACCTCCCAACCACCTGTAAGTCCAGTTCCAAAGATTCTGACACCCTCCTCTGAACTCTGTAGGCAATGTACACATGCAGTACACAGGCATACATGCAGGCAAAATACCCATACACATACTTTTTTAATTTAAAAGACATTAAAAAATAGACTAATGATTTGAAAAGAACTTTGTCAAAGATAACATATCACCATAAAGACGAAATATTGCCATAAATAAGCGTATGAAAATATGCTCAGTTTTATTAGTCATCAAGGAAAAGTGAACTAAAACCACTAAACCCAGCAAATGGGGAAAATTAAAAACATACACTACTCAAACCACGGGGGATACGGCATAATGGAAACTATTGTATATTGCCAATGGGATGCAGCCGCTTTGGAAAAGTTTGGTAACTTCTTAAAAAGTGAGACATGCACTTATCACACAGGCTAGATTTTCTACTTTTCAGTATTTATACAGAGAAATGAAATCACATCCACACACTTGTAAATATGAATATTCACAGCTGCTTTGCCAATAATGGCCAAACATTAGAAACAATTCAAATGCCTACTAATTGGTAGATGGATGGACAAACTGTGCCATACACTTACATGAGAATACTGCAAAGGCAAAAGAAACAAAGGACTAACAAATTCGGTTAATATGCACAAATGTCAAAAGCACTGTTTAAAGAAGCCAGACAGAAATGGCTGTACTCTGCTATGACTCCGTTACATTAAAGCTGGTGAAAAGCCAAAGTGAAAGAAACACATCGGTGCTCTCAGAGAATGGTGGCCACAGGGAACTGACTGCAAATGAACAAGACGCTTCTGTGGGTTGTGGAAATGTTATGCACGGTTACAGCAGTGTACTTATCAGTGCTACAATACAAGCTCTCATGGATAAAATGTAATTGCTAATTTGATGACCTTGGCCAGATTAACTCACTATCCAACATCACACCTGCACATCATTTGTATCTGGACTCCCAATTTTTAAATGTAACCTCATGATTGCATTGCCTTCATAACAAAATGGGCTCACAACTGAATCACCTGGCCCTTTTTCTTACCTCTGCTCACATGTCTTTATCACCAGCATCCTCTTAGACCTGCAACTGGGCCCAGCATCCTCAAGCCTCAGCTCAACCGTCTTTGTAGTTTTTAGCCTTCAGAGAGAAATGGGCCTGCTCTGCCCACCATATGCACCGTTTCTCACCATAACCCACCTCCCAAGGCAGGCAGGCAATCTCTGCCCTTCTTGTACTGTGTCGCTTCGGGGGAGGGGGGGATTGGTGCTTGCCACATTTCTTATACAAAGTCCAGGGAGTTTTAGGAGCATCCATCATGTGTGGCAGAGTGATATCTACACAGAAATAAAGTGATCTTCCAAAATTTTAGGAAAATTTAAAAAATAAGAAGCTTTAAGAAAAATCAAATTAAAAAACAGCTTTCTATAGATCTATAAGGACAAAAAAGCAATACTTTTCTAGATCTTTCATATCGTTTTCTTTTACATTTATTGGCAGAAAGGGAAAATGGTGAATTAAATGATTGGAAATGTACTTACTTGGATACAGAAGATCGGAGAACTCAAAGTCATTCACTCGGCAGATGGGCATAAAGGAGGCCCTTTAGGATGCAGAACAGTGCAGAGCAAGGTGTTAGGTGCTACACCATGAACGCAAACATCTTAGTTTCAAACCTATTTGTCAGTGTTCAAGAGCCAAGTCGGGTCAGAAGTCTACTGCAGTGCAGTCCTGCGGCATTGAAATCTACTTCTATATTGCATTAGTGTTGTTTTTTCTGCATGTTACATCAACATTCATGCAGTATCAAGGTAGTTAGACTAATAAACAGCATATATTCTTGGTGATTCTAAGACTCTTCAAGAACGCAAAGCTACCAAACAATTGCAGACTTAGAGCACCTCAGAATGTCATGTGAGAGCATCCTGAAGAGTGCCAGAGGGGAAGACTGAATGCATGTGAGAACTCCGAACACACAGGAGATAAAGTAAAGGCAGCAAGCTGCTCTTTCACAAAGACCATACCATTATTCAAGTTTAATGTAATGTAGATTAAAAAAAAAAGATCACCCTTTACTCACAGATGAGAGTATAAATTGGTGATTGGTAAAAAGCCCTCCATTAGTTGTGGATACATGACTTCTACGTTCACCGGCATCTGAATGAAATAAATCATGAAATCTAAGTCACAAATCAATTAGATGAAATGAGAGGAATCTTCAATTATAAGAAATCTTAATCACAGGAAATGATCAAACGATATTAATTTATTACCACCAAATCTGAAAACAGCACAACTCCTAATGCACAGCTGGAGTTGACAATAATATATGATGCTCAGTTCCCAGTCGGCACTTAATGAAGACTTTTAAGGGCAGGGAAATAACATCAGAACTTAGGCTAGGCACTTGACTTTGTTATTCTCTTAATTGTTACAACCTTATGTTAGAGGGACACCTCATTTTGTAAAGAAACTAAATCTTTGCAAAGTTCCATAGTAAACACAGGGCAAAATCTTATGTCCAATCATAAGCTAAGAGTGGTAGCATGTGTCTGTAATACAAGTAAGCACACAGGAAGATCATGAGTTCAAGGACAGCCTGGGTTATCAAAACAGTAAAGAATATAGAACCCGATGATGAGACCCTGCAGACATTACATCTTCATGGATCCTCAGACAAATGCCCTGATAATTTCATCACAAAACATGTTCAAGAGAAGCGCTCTTTCTGACTAGAACTACATGGTTTGCCTCATTTCAACTGCTTCAACCTTACTATCTTCTATTTTAATGTCAGAGTCCTTTCTACAAAAACATTTGTTTTTCTAAAGACTTGGCAGTTGTTTATTAAAGTCTCTGAAGCCAGAACTACACATCTGTGGACAAACTACATAGAATCAGTAATTTCCAGGTGTCATTGGATCTTCCATTAGTTTTCATCTTACTAAAGATTCTCATTAAGTTACTATTTATTACGTCTAAAAATCTTCTCTAAGGGAGAGCAATTTTATGTAAGCCTTTAGATTTGCTGGAAATAAAGTCAAACACTTATCCTTTTGGGCAGAGTGTAATGTGAGCAGAACTGCTGTAAACACAAAAACAAACACTTTTATCTCCTAACTCACCATGTAGAAGTGCTCCGGCCGGATCCCATACACTATCTGTAAGGCTCTCATGTAGATAGCATGCAAGACCTCAGGCTACAAGAGAAAACTACAGTCAGTGTCTCGGAGAGCTGTGTCATTACCACCATCATCATCAAATGCTGCAGTCAATGAATGCAAAGAGAAATGTGAGAAAATCACCCGGCTTCCCTCAAAAAATCTCCTAATTTCTCCAATATTTTGGATATCTTATGGTACGTACCAATTTGTTCATATGTAGTGAATAAACAAGGAAATTGGTTACTTATAAATGAGGGTTAGTCTATCCAAATCCAACCCAATCAATCAACCTAGCCCAGACAGGGTAGACAGGTGAGTCTTCCTGAACTCTGTCAGGAATGAGGAAATGCTGGACCACTCAAGATTTGATTTTTACTTTTTAAAGAAAGATCACTCAGACTAGCCTGCTGCTATGGATAGATCAACTCAGATTTCAGTTTAGCTGCAACACTTGGAATAATGGCTATGAAAGAAAATGGAGAAATAGCAAGATTTAAAACCCTTGTCTTCTAAGTCAGTGGATCCCAAATGCTGGCCTGAGAACCTATCCACCCTGCATTCAAGTTCCTTAGGTAAACAGAAAGGCCTGAACTATGGTGGAAAGGTGGCAATGTTTTCTAAAGCTGTATTATTGCCTTAAAGCCTACCACTCACTCTGGCCATTCTTTCCATTTCAAAGAACTCAAGTGCACTGAGATAAACAATTTTGCATTCTGTATGATAAAAGAAGCCTTCCCATATTATAACTTCAAGGCCAACCCAGGAAACTGGAGGGAGACTTTGGGATTTTGCTGCGACACATAAATAGCTCATTTTTGCATTTAATAACCAAACATATAAAGAATAACACCTGTCAAAATAAGTCAAATCCCGCCTGGGGCATAATGTAAGAAAATTAATCTGCACGCTTCCAAAGAAGACTGTTTTTAAGCATGCGTGTGTAGGAAACCACTTGGAATAAATCCTGTCAAGCTCTCCAATAAATGATGCCCTCATACCACCTCTCCAGTAATATAAAAAATTTAATATACTTTAATATACCTATGTTTTAAGGCCTTTTTTTCTTTAAGGAAAACAGCTGTATTAAAGAACCGGGTTCCCAATGGGATGAAGAAGTTGCCCCACATATAAACTTCATGTTATTTTAAAATTACACCAGGTGAGAGATTTTCCTCTAGATTAAAAATGACTGGCCCACAACAAATAAGAGGGCACTCGCCTTCCTCCCCACACCACAGACCCAGTAGCTTACTTTATTCATAAATATTAGGATCTCCATGTACAGACAAGTGCATTTTACCTTTGGGTTTGGATAGAGATCATTCTTAGAGAGGTTTTTGCCATCAGCTCCTGTTAGTATTTTATTTCGAATATGAACCACAATCTCAGTTACATTGTATCTGGGGAATGACAGAGTCTCCATTCTGAGAGTCTCCTCCTAGTTTAAAGAAGAAAAAACAAAGATCAGAGATATGCACAATGAATAGTCCTTATAATCTGCAAGTTAGTACTTAAGGAAAAATGAACAAGCTGTGCTTGAACTGTTCACAGTAATACTATCATCAAATATCTGAATTAGGTAAAGAATTTTAAGCCAGGCATGGTAATGCATCCTGGTGACCCCCAATACCTAGGAGGTGGAAGCAGGAGGATCAGAAATTCAAGGTAACAATTACAAGTAAAATTCAAGGCTAGACTGACTCTGTCCTGTCTCAAAACAAGATGAATGTTATTTACACACACATATAAACACACACTGAAAGAAAGGTGGTGTTTTATCCTAAAGTAATTTTTATGACAAAGTAATAGTCATTTCCGTTAATTTTTCTAACATTCTATTCCATAAGGGATAGAGGCTTTGAGTTGACGCACAGTAGGAAAATCATGTTGGCTTCTTTTTACACGAGGGCCAGGGCATTTAACAAGATACTGAGAACTACTTCTCGAAGCACAAGACAGGCAGCAGCAGCAGAAGCTAAATATAAGCAATGCTAACACAAGGCAGAAAATAAAAATTTGATATCCCACTCAACACACACACAGGAAGAAGGCTAATAAGATTTAAGATGCAAGCAGGGGTGAGAGCTGGGGCAGAGGGAAAGGAAGATGTAGAGGGAGAGCGGAAGGAGAGGCTTTAATTTAAGGCAGGAATCCCTTTCACCAGAGCAAGAACTTAAAACACATAAACTAGCAAAAACCCATTTGTCCTAATGTGTGCAGATAATAGATTATTCCTACTGGTGTCCTCTTAAAATAGTACTTGTCATAATTCTGTCTCCCTTACACATCCCAGAGCACAACTGGCAACGTTTGGAGATATTTTTAGTTGTCAAGACAAGAATGCAGTGGCTAGAGGCCAGGCATTCTGCCAAATACTCTCCAATGCTTTGGGTGGCTTCCACTGTGGAGGTGTCTGTCCAAAAGACCACTACTTCCCAAAGTGAGCAGAGACCCAGAGTGAACATATTCAGTTCCGCAAATGAACTGAAATGGCTTACAAGTTTTGAAATCGACTTTAGGCTCTCACTGTTTCTTAGAACAATTATAGCTAAAAAAGAAGCTCCAACAACTTGCCTATCATCCCAATAAAAGGAAGATGCCACCCTAAAACATGGTTGTTAAATAGTGCCCTGATTCTGACCCCCTCTCAACATCACCGTCCCGAGGAACTCCAAAAGCTATTTCCTTCTACTCTAGTGTGTCTCTAATAAGTAGAAGACACTTCCCCACACCACTGAGAAATGCTGCTGTAACCTCATTACTGATCCTATTTTTAGACACCGTAACTGCATAGAATGCATTAACCCCTATTTACAGGACACTGCTGTTGTAGAATATTATTTTAAGGTCTGTTGCTTTTGTTGATGTTGCATTTGTTTAACTCTGTGAAGCTGTGTTACTGTGCCTGTCTAAAACACCTGAGGGTCTAATAAAGAACTGGCCAATAGCAAGGCAGGAGAAAGGAAAGGCAGGGCCGGCAGGCAGAGAGAATATATGGAGGGAGAAATCTGGAAAGGGAGATCTAGAAGAAGCCAGGAAGTGGAGGGGGACACCAGGGTCCAGCCACCCAGCTACACAACCAGCAAGCCACGGAGTAAGGGTCAGATTTACAGAAGTAATAGAAGGGAAAAGCCCAGAGGCAAAAGGTACATGGGGCTAATTTAAAGTTAAGGAAATAAGCCCAGCTAAGGCCTGCCATCCATAAGTAAGAAAAAACCTCTATGTATTTATTTGGCAGCTGGAGGGTGGGCCCCCCAAAAGAGTAAAAAACCCCAACAACACATTCTTTCACAAATATAAAGAAGGCTGTGATGTCCCTTCTAAGTCTTCTCTGCTACAAGATTAAATACTACTTCCTTAAATGTGGCTACTCCTTTATGAAACTATTTTTGGAAACCTTACCATTTTTGAGAGAGAAGAATACACCTTCTCCTACTCCAACAAAAATGAGTACAGACTTGTACCTAAACTGGGAGTAGTTTCTGGCAGCAGTATCAGGCAGTAATAATTCTGAAGTGGCCATCACTAGGCGTCCCATCATTAAGTTCTGACACTCCCTCCAGGCCCACGGCGTCAGAACCCACAGATGAGCGCTCCCACTGTTCCCCTTGACAGGATGGTCACAAGCCCAGGCCATTTTACTTATGCTTCCAGCAGCCTACCCCACACTGCAGTCTGGGGTCTGATTCATCTCTAGAGTGGCTCAGGCAGAAGGAAATACAAGATATTAGGAGGGATGGACAGCAGATGAAGAGACAACCAGGACCAGGAGGAGGGAGGGACTTGGAACTTCTTGGAACTACAAAGTGTCTGGCTACCCAAGAGTTCTCAAAATCAGCCCTTTGGGGATTCTACAAAAGTTTTATCATGTAGGTAGGTATGACTGGTTTTACCAGTGCCAACAACTTCCAGTCTCTCCCTTCCCCAGGATCAGGGGACAGGGGCAGAATGTCCTAACCCCATAAGATTGCCTTAGTTTTCTGGTAAATCACTCCCCACTGCCCCCCCAACTCCCCATGCCCAAGGGACTAGAGACTGCCAGGCAACAGCTAACCATTAGGCAACAGCTAACCATTAACATATAAAAGTTCACTTATCGCCAGGCAGTGGTGGCACATGCCTTTAATCCCAGCACTTGGGAGGCAGAGGCAGGCAGATCTCTGTGAGTTCGAGGCCAGCCTGGGCTACAGAGTGAGTTCCAGGAAAGATGAAAAGCTACATAGAGAAACCCTGTCTCAAAAAACCAAAAAAGTTCACATCACTGTGACCATTCCCAGGATTTGGGGATCTGTACACCAAGAACTTTGGACAATGACAAAACGTATATTTCACACTCTCATACTGTCCTATTTAAATTAACCCTGAAATACTTTGTCTATGGTGGTATTTTATTTGTACTGAAATGTGACTTTATTTGTCAATATCGTTGATAAGTTTTAAGACTCCCTCTCCGCTGTGGCAACAAGCCGAATCAGACCAAATCAGGAAAAGCCCAGGTTTAATGGGTAAAGCCCTCCGGGGCGATTCCCTGGCCCCACAGAGAGGAGAAGGGAAGGAGACCGGAAGAACCACAAGTCTATTTATATATCCCCTGTGGATGCTGCTTATATATCCCCTAGGGCAGTCATCCTGAGTCTCTCTGGGGGAGGAGCAGTGTTTGGCGGGCTCTGAACTGTGTGACGTGGAGCTCCCACCCAAACAATCTTCCCTTGTGCTGGTCTATGTTTGTGTGGGTGGAGGTCCACGTGGACCAGAGGCAGTCTCTAATTTTGTTTCTCAAATACTATTCCCCTTATTTATTTAGATATGGATTTATTTATTTAAAGATATGGTCTCACAGGCCGAGAAGTCACCAAGTAGGCTAGACTGACTGACCTGTAACACAAATTTCAAAAGGTCTTATTAAATAAACAAACAAACAAACAACCCGGAGCCAGATATCGGGGTGAACACTGAAAGATCAGAGAAACAGAATAAGCCACAGTCAACCTCACCTCACCTTGTTTCCTCAGACTGAAAGCCTCTGAGTCCTCACTAGAATGGATCTCAGCTGAACTGCTGCTAAAAACCCTCTAGTTCCCGATCCTCACGCCTTTATATACCTTTCTGCTTCCTGCCATCACTTCCTAGGATTAAAGGCCCATGTCCTTCCCAAGCAAAAACATGAGATCTCAAGTGTTGGGATTAAAGGTCTGTGCCAGCACATCTGACTCTGTTCTTGAACTCACAGAGATCCAGAGGCATCTCTGCCTCCCAAATGATAGGATTAAAGATGTGTGTCACCACGCCTGACATCTATGTCTAATTTGGTGGCTGGCTCTGTTCTCTGATCCCCAGATAAGTTTTATTGGGCTGCACAAATAAAATATCACCACACTGACCACCAGACGTCTGCCTGTCTCCATCTCCACAATGTTGAGAACTATCTGACCATGTCCAGAACTTAAAACAAAAGGTCCTGCCTTTTCTAATTGAGCTATTTCCACAGATAGTCAATATCTTCTTAAACATAATACCAAATGAATTCAACACTCCAGATGTGGTCAATCTAGGGTAGAGTAGTAATACAGCAAGGAATGACCTCTACTGATTGTGGGTAACTGTAGCATTCATGTAGAAATACATTTATAGTCCAGTGAAAGAAACACTAAGAGCTTCAACATGGCCCTCTTATGTGAGCCTGGATTTCCCCCACACTCTTCTTACATCAATATTTGAACTTTAAGCTATTTTCATTTTCTACTACTGAATTTCATAACTGCAAACCATTTTTTCAGAGATAGGATCATCTCAGATCTAGATTTGGACCCTTCACACATTAATATCTATTTCAGTATAAATTATAAATGTATGGGAAGGTAAATTATCCTACCACAAGTGTAGTAGTTTGGTGTGTTTCTAGAAACTACATACCTCTGCAGACTCAGGAATGGCTCGGCAAGGTCCTTCTGTAGAAAGAAGTTTACGGATGTTTACATTACAAATGTGTAGACACAGGCAGAGGCTTCGCCACAGTACAGCTCCCTCTCTGCAGAGAAAAGATCTCTGCACAAGAAAACACTATTTCTGATCCCTGCCCAGGTACAGATGACATGGGAGAGACTTCATCAGCAGAACAAGAGAGCCTCCCTTCACTGTGCACCTCCTCCGGCCACAGTTCCAAATCCTCAGTCACTTCCTATCCTCTGACCAATCTCTTTATAATCAGCCAGTCTAGTCCTCCCTTGTGTTAGGCACACATTAGATTCTGGGTTGTCCGTGCCCCCCCCCCCAATATTCTGAGGTCAGTTTATTTCGTGGGTTAACATGGTGAAGACTTCAGAGGGAAAAGAGTAAATAAGCATTCAATACGTTTCATCTAAGTCTTGGTTTTTGAAACTGTTCATAAAACCATTACAAAGAGGATGCTTGCTAAAGCAAGCTACACCTGGATTAGAGATTTTAACAAGGCAGTGAGTCTAAAATATCTTCATGATTATTATCACACACACTTCTTCTGCTGAATTGATGTACAATGCCCCGGAGTTAATCCTTATAAAACATCAAATCTTCACAAATGTACAATCGGCTTACCTACCACACAGATTTCAATCTTTTCCACTGAAGTTTCTAAAGCCTTTAATAACCTAATGCTCTTTCTGGTTCAAGTTAATCCCTTCAAGACTTCTCCTAAACTTCCAATGCCTCATTATACCTGCGTGGAAATCTCTGCACCTCATTACACCTGTCTGAGAATTTCTGATGACCAGTTTCCCAATCTAAAGCTACCAAGAGGCTTACACCTGCAATTAGTGGGCATAATGACATCTTCTCATATCCGAATTCTCAGTCTTTCACAGTGCAATTTCAGTTCCAATTCATCCGTGTGTGTGTGTGTGTGTGTGTGTGTGTGTGTGTGTGTACAGAAAGAGGGGGAGACCTTTAGTTTGAGTTCATAGCTCAGACTAAAGTAATTTATACACAGTAAAATGACTCTGACATGCTAGCTCAAATAGGGCAGATTTCTGCTACTGGCTTCTCTTTCTCCTTTATTTGTAACACTACAATGCAAGGCACAGCATGCACTGGAACAGCTGTTAAATTTTATACATTAGGTTTGGCAACGCAAAACTAAGCAAGTAACTCCCAATTTTAATCAATTAAATAAAAAGGTTCCTGAAAATCGTGGGGTGGGCCTATTGTTACACACGAGTAGAGCCGTGTACACGCAGCTCCCTGATTTGGGGTTAAGTATGACATCTTCGCCTTCTGATTCATGATTCTGGGTGTGATCAAGAGATGGAGCAATGGGGATACCTAGAAAACTGACAAGCATTCACCACGAAACAAGTCCCACTGACACCACTCTCGCGGCTCACACCTGTAATTTCAGCACTCGGGAGGTGGAAGCGATAGGATTAGGAGTTCAAAACAAGCCTCAGGTACATGGTGAGCGCCAGGACAACTTGGATTCTTTAGACCCTGTCTCAAATCAACACACAGACGCTTAAGTCGGCGAACCCAGGCGCCCCGAGCCTAGACCTCCTCCCGCTCCTCCGGCGGCCGCTCGCACTCACCTGCGGTCGCAGCAGCTCTCAGAAGACTGGAGACAAGCGAAATGACAAATCCAGAAGCCTCCAACTGTTGTCACTTTTCAAACCAGCCGCCTTGGCGTACGAGGCCCGCCCCTTTCCGCGGAGCCCGCTTCCTCCGCGACGGGGGCCCGGAGGGCTCAGAAGACCCACGGTGGGTGGGGCTTGGTGTGCGGCGCGGCAAGCCTGGCCCCAGGCCGGCGGAACCACTGTGCAGGGGGTTGGCTTCCAGTCGGAACTGTGACTCCTCTGGACAGAGGAGCCCAGCTGCTAGAGGGCGGAGTTCCGAGCGGTGTTTACTCGGTTGTCAGTGACTTCCTCCGGAACTTCATGGCTGGTGTCCTTCTATTAGGCTCTGGGTGTGTTGTCTCTACTGAATCAAAAACATTGTAGAGAAACCTGCTGTAATAGTAGCAAAGCCCCCGTCGGATAAGCATTGATGGGGTCAGATTCTGCCCGGCGTATTTGTACGCATCATTTCACTTAAGGGTCATGAAAGCTTGGGACGGGCACGCGAGTGGTGGATACGCATTGTTATTTTGCTTTAGAAAGAACGCTCTACGTTAAAGAGATTGCGTGAGTGACCCAAAGCCACCCACAGGAGTTCAGAAGTAGTCTAGCCGGAATTAGGGTACAAAGGACCTGAGTCCTCTGTAAGCAAGGCTTGTAGAGATGGGAGGTCTAATAGTTCATCTTGTTATGACCAAATCTCGGGGGCCCCCAAAAGACCACCCCGGACACCGAATCCCGTATGTAAAAGCAAAGACCCTTTATTTTCCAGCTCTGAGCTAGGTCCCTCTGTCTGTGAAAGCAGAGAGCCGTGAGCCCAGCCAGGGTAGGGGTTTTTTTTTAATCATAGAGGTTGGGGTGAGGAGATTTCCATGGTGTACATGTGCATATGCATGGCAGAAGAAAACCTTGCGTGAGTGACGTCCTTGGAGACACCATATACTTTCTCTGAGATAGGTCCTCTAATTGGCCTGCAGCTCACCAATCAGGCTAGACTGAGCCAACAGTGAGCTCTAGGGATGCTTACCTCCTCCTACCCAGTACTGGGATTACAAGTGCATGCCACCATGACTGGCTGCTGGGGAACTAGTGCGGCCTCATGCTTGTGAGACAAGCCCTTTTCACCTTAGTGACTTGTAGAGACCCATAGAGGTTTCCTAGTGAGAAATTATTGAAGGTCCGAGAATCTGAGCATGCTTTA